GCGAAGCGAAGGGCGGCGGCGGCGGCTACTAGTCCCGGGTTCCCAATCGCCTTCGGCTCCGAATCGAGCCCGTGGTTGCTCGGTGTTCGCGCTCTCTCACCCCGCGCTCCCCGCACCCGCGCTCGGCCTCGCGGCGCGGGAGGAGCGGCCATGCCGCCGCGGCGCAGCATCGTGGAGGTGAAGGTGCTGGACGTGCAGAAGCGGCGGGTGCCCAACAAGCATTATGTGAGTGCGCCGCGGCCCCACGCCCCCTGGAGCCCGCGCCCTGCCGGGGGCGATCGGGAGCCCCAGGGCTCTGAAAACTTCTGCTACAGCTCCCTTTCTCGCGTCCTCGTCCTCCCCTCCTCCTCTCCCCTCCACTCCCACCTCGGCCCTTTGCCTGCGCGGCCCGGGTCTCTCCCGCTCCTCCCCCGTCCCTTCGTCCCTTTTACCCTGTTCTTTTCCTCCCTCCCTTCCTCCCGCCTCGCTCCCCTACTTGCCTCTCATCTGCTTCTCTTCCCCTTTCCGTTTCCCCCTTGCCCCCCTCCCCCAGCAGCCCCCACTTACAGCCCATATGAGGAAAAGTCCGGCCCCAGCCGGTGTAGGGGACCGAGATGGAAAGGAGAGAACGCCCCTGTTCGCAGGCCACCTTCCTGTCCCTCCGGTCGACCGGAGGCACTCAAACAGACCTGCTATGCCGGGCCACAGGTAGCCCCTCTAAGGGACAGCAAAGTTTGCCTCCCTTCCTTTGCAGAAGGGAGCCTGAAAGGATGCTAGAGATCTCGAAATCGATTATTTTGAGTGCCTGCACTTTAAACGGTTAGCAATCCCTGTCCCCTCTCTCCAATAGCTTCTGTTTAAAAAATATAAGAAAGTGCCTTCCTAGTATCGTCCTCTGTAAAGTGGGAATCAAGTTATAAAGGACTGGAGAAAATGGGCCAGTAGCATCGTTTTACAGATGGGAAGACTGAGGTTCAAAGAGGTTGCTGGTACTAGAACGTAGAGTTGTGGTCAGATCTTTCTTTCCTGCCTCAGGAAGATGTGCCAGGGGCAGATGGTGACCTCAGGTGGGAAGTAGCTTGCTTTCACAGAAGGCTGTAGGCCATTTCTGAGAGTTCAAGTGGCCTTGGGACCACCTAAAAGGTTCTGGGTGGAAGGGTAATGGGAATGTGGGAAGACCCCAGATGAGGCCTTGGGGAGGGTCTCCCTACACACGTGAAGGGGAGATTGTGTCTCCCTGAGTCAGAAGTGGGCTGTGGCCAAGCCTATGTACCGAGAAGTTAACCAGGAAGAAAAAAAGAGCAAGCGGGAGAGAAGGAGGGAAAAAATCCTAACAAAGAAGTGCAGAACAATGACTAGAAAAGGGCGTTGCCTGGCTGAAGTCAGCCCCTCTGCCTCCCTGGAAGTGGTCTTTGAGTCTGTTTTTTAAAGAGACTTGTTCGTATAAAACAGAACTACATGCCTGCCATGAATAGCCTACAGAATTTTGAAAGGAGATAGACTCTGCTCTCTACAAGAAAGGGTATGCTATGCAGGAGTCTGTATTGTTATTGGCCCGGCAGCCAGTTATTCCATCCTTAGCCAGGCAGTGGGAAGCTATTTCCTGGACCTATGGCATCTTTAAATAGAGTGAAGTTTCCCTTAATCCCAGAGCCGAAATGAAATTGCCCCTTACCCTCCTCCCCCATTTATTTTTTCTTGTTAACTTTCAAATACTGCCAAATCTTGGTTTCTTGTTTGAGCCTGTTGACTTGCCTCTAGGGTATGAAGACAGTTTTCACCAATATGGCAATAAGAGGACTTCTGGAATTCTCCCATCAGATCTGTCAGCTGGTAAAAACCAGAATAGATACAACCACCTTGAATTGGTGTCATTGTCTACTCACTCTCTCCTGTCCGCCCTCCACCCCCCTTAGAGGTTCTTAGGCCCATTTTGTAGATGAGGACAGTAAGCCTCAGAAAGTTGAGGTGTTAGGCTTGAAACCACAGCCAGAGGCAGAACAGGGATGGAAATTCGGGACTGTAGAACCCTAAAAAGTGTTGCTTCTTCCACCAGCTCACATCACTTCCTTAATCCCACACGCCTATAGTTTATAGTTTCCCTAGGAAAAAAACCCAAAGCAGTAGTTGTTGGTGAGTCAACACTGATGCATGGCAACCCCGTGCGTGTCAGGGTAGAACTGTGCTCCATAATGTTTTCAGTGGCTGATTTTTCACAAGTAAATCGCCAGGCCATTCTTCTAAGGCACTTATGGAAAGACTCGAGCTTTTCAGTTAGTAGCTGAATGTGCATTATCCAGCAACTGCTTCATAAGTAAGCAAAGCCCTCTTAAAGATCAGATAATTTGCTGTCACTGTTCTCTGCTTAGTCAGAGCCCCCCCACCCCAATTTTTTTCGGAGATTCTGCAGCTATGAGTATCCTCTTTCTAAGCCTTCAACCATTTTTTTAGGAATTCCATGAGTCCAATCTTTGTTAAAACATAGATTTGAGTTGGACAAATCTGGGTTCAAATCTTAGTCTCCCAACTTGGTAGCCAGTTTTCTCATCTGTACAATGGGAGTGATGGTGCTCAGTTTCTAAGGGGAGGAGCAATGTGACTGGCAGGGTTGGCATTCCATATCTGTTGGCTCCCTCTTTCCATCCCGTGATGTCCATGTCACTCTGAATGGGAACGTTCCAAAGTCACATGGGGGAAAGGATTCTACCAAGAACTTGTTTTTCTTCACGTAGAGTTAGTTGCTGCTTTGATTCAAGAGTGGGAGCCCTAGGATAAACACTGAATTGTTAACTGCAAATTGGTGGTTCAAACCCACCAGCCGCTCCTTGGAAACCCTATACAGGGTCTCTATGAGTCGGAACCAACTCGACAGCACTTAACAACAGCAACAACATGACTCAAGAGTGAGTCCCAGAGTGGTGCTTTAGGATAAGCACTGGACTACTAACTGAAAAGTCGGTGGTTCAAACCCACCAGCTGCTCTTGAAAACCCAATACGGGGTCACTGAAAGTTGGAACCAACAACACAACAACAGCATGTTTCTGGGGCCCTGTCTCATCCAGCCAGCCTTTACTGATAGTTTGAACACAAGAACAAAGACACGTCAGAACCATGATCCCAGACTGAACCCCACAGAAACAAACTGATGGCTGGCTACCACTTATTCCCAAGGATCCCATCTCCAGAAAGAATGGGTGTGGACTTTGACTCCTGTTTGGTACCCTCCTTTCGGAGCTTGCTTTGGCCACTCTATAGCAAGAGCAGGGTAGGTAGACAGCTCTGGGATCTGCCATTTCCTACTGCGTGAACTTGCACTGGTCAGTTTACCTCTTTGAGCTCCAGCTTCTGCAGATTGTGTATTGTGAATACTACGTCTCCTCTGTTATTAACTACCATCGAATCGGTTCTAACTCCAAGTAACCATATAGGGTTTCCCAGGAGTAGCTGATGGGTTTGAACCACCAACCTCGCAGTCAGCAGTCCAATGCTTATCCTATAGCATCACACTTCTTGGGCAGAGTTTCTCAGCCCTGTTGACATATAAGGCTATGATAGAATTCTCAACATCCTTGTGGAAGACCCGAGTTTGATTCCAGCCAAATCACCTCACGTACAACCTTTGCCTGTCTGTCTGTGGAGACTTGTGTGTTGCTGTGGTGCTGAACAGGTTTCAGCAGAGCTTCCAGACTGAGAGGAATAAGGAAAAAGGGCTGATGATCCACTTCAAAAAGCAACCAGTAAAACCCTCAGGATCACAATAGTCCAACCTATAACCGATTATGGAGATGGTGCTGGACTGGCCAGCATTGTATTTTATTGTGGATGGGGTTCAATTTGATGGCAGCCAAACAACAAGGGCTCTAACATATCAGTTGAGATGGCGCAGGGTTTGGCTGTGTTTTGTTCTATTGTACATAGGGTCGCTATGAGTCAGAACCAACTTGATGGCACATAACAACAAAATCCATGGTTATGGCGGCTTATAGGAAGTTTTGCAGCTTCCCTACCCTTTACCTATGAGGTTCCAGTAGCACTCCTGCCTCCAATGGTGACAACCGAAAATGTCTTCAAACATTGCTACATGTCCCCTTAGAGGACAAAATTGTTAACACTCGGGCCTCTGCCACAGCCTCTGTGCTGGAATATAGCAGTCAGTTCTGACGAGTCCTGGTTAGCACACCTCTGAATTTCCCTCTACTCCAGAGCTCTGGTAGCGTAGTGGTTACGAATCGAGCTGCTAACTCAGCGTCAGCAGTACAGAACTGTCAGCAGTTCTGCCGGAGACAGATAAGGGTTTCTGCTCCCGTAAAGATTTACAGCCTTTGAAATCCTATGCAGGGTCACTATGAGTCGGAACTGACTCCAAGGCACATAACCACCAACCACCATCTCTCCCCAGTGATGTCATTGAGGAACTGCTGCAGTTGGAATGCAGGGCTTCCCATTAGGACTAGGCCTCCTGTCACACCTAAAATGGCATCCTGTCTATCCCATCCCCTCTGTGGGCAGAGACCTCATCAGTAGGCTCAGGGTGGAGCCACACGTGTGACTTGGAAAAGACAGACGCAGAAGCTCCCAAGTCAATTGCCATGGAATCAGTTCCAATTCATGGAGACACTAAGTGTGTCAGAGGACCCTTAGTGCTCCATAGAGTCTTCAGTGGCTGATTTTTCTAACCTAGATCACTAGGCCTTTCTTTTGAGGTTCCTGTCAGCTAGAAGCTCTAGTAGTGTAGAGATAATGAATCAGGCTATGAACCTTAACATCAGCAGTTTGAAACTACCAGCCGCTCCGTTGGAGAAAGATGAGGCTTTCTGCTCCCATAACGATTTGGAGTCCTGGTGTGACACTGTGGGTTAATGCGCCAGACTGCAAAGCCATTTGAAATGCAAGGTCGGCAGTTCAAGCTCACCAGCTGTCAGAACCAACTCGACGGCACTTCACAACAACAACAACAATCAGCTAGTAGCTGTGTGTGTTAACCATTTATTCTACCCAGGGACTTTTAGAAGTCTTCCACAACCCACCCACCCCCGAAAGAAGAAAAACAAAACAAAAAAACTATTACTGTTGAGTTGATTTTGACTCATGGCAACACAATGAATGTTTTGTTTTTTTCACACAGTTAGACTACTTCATAGCGTTCTCCTGACTATAATCTTTATGGAAGCAGATGGCCAGGCCTTTCTTCTGCAGTACTTCTGTATAGATTCAAACTACAAATGATTGAGCACAAATCATTTAT